CCACTGTCCTCGTCCTCACTCTCACCGCCCCTCGGCGCCTCGGCGGCCTGCAAATTGTCTTTCTCGTTCTCTTGCTGTTCCGGCTTCTCCTGCTGTACACCTTCCATCCCTTTATTTGCAAATCGCGTGGGTCCAGGAGTTCCTACAGGCGATGGGGAACGAGGACGACGATCCTCCCGGTCATCGGCATCGTACGGGGATGAGGATGTGGAGGATGACGGTGGTGGTGGTGATGAGGTGGTGGCGCTACAGTAAGGTTGGCAAGAATCATACGGTACGGTACGGTACACCATTGTATTTGACCGTCTTTCGAACTGTAAAAGAAAACTGTCGCTGCTGCTGCTTCTTTGTCTTGTGCTGCTGCTGTTGTTGCATGTCTGCGAGGCAAGACGTTACTGTCACGGCCGTCTTCCTCGTCCTCCTTATCTGTGCTGTAGTCCTCCTCCTCCTCCCTTCCTCCCCCTTCTTTGGGTTCCTCTTCAGAGTCCTGTTCTTCATCATCGCCACCTTCTTTTTCTTCTTCTGATATCTCTTCATCTACATTGTCCTCCTCTGGGGAATCCACAGCCTCTTGTGAAAAGAGTAACTGTAGAATTTCAAGTGCACTCAGTCGTTGCCCATCGCTATACCCGCTACCCGTTTTTTGACTTGTTGTAGCCGAATTCTGCTGCTGCTGCTGCGACATGGCTGCCAAAATCAAAAAAAAAAAAAAGGATGCCTGTAGTAAGTAGTACAGGGATTAGGTTTGGAGCGGTGGGGTTGTGCAGTGTGCTGCTGCTGCTGCTGCTGCTGCTGCTGCTGCTGCTGCTGCTGCTGCTGCTGCTGCTGCTGCTGCTGCTGCTGCTGCTGCTGCTGCTGCTGCTGCTGCTGCTGCTGCTGCTGCTGGTAGGTGCAACAAAGGAGGTGTAGTGAAGGAATAGTAAATACATTGAAAGGTAAGGGTGTGCGTGAGTGAGATGGGCAATGGGAAATGCCTCGGTACAGATGATATCAGTGTGTGTGCGCGCGCCAACCTCAGCAGCTGCCTTGCCTTTCACCTTCTTGAACGAGTTCAAAGTGTCGCCGTATCATCTAGGCACGCGCTCCGCCGATGCCGGAGGCAATGAGCGGCTGGACGCGGTTTTGAGAAATGCCCGAATCCGCCCCCGAGAGAACTCTGCCTACTGGCTGTTTTTGAGATGGATCGACACTTGGGCCGACCTGCTTAAATTATTTTGCTGCAGTTTTGAGCAGCAGCAACATCAACAGCAGCAGAAAATGAACATAGAATTGGAAAAATGTTGGCGTTGATGCCACCACCACCAAACATACACGGACACTGTGACATAATAATTCTCTATGAGATGAATCGAGATACAAAGGTAATGAAGCACATTTTGACCACACAGGACTCCCCCTAGTCATCGAGTGAGAGAGTGAGAGAGTGAGAGAGTGAGCAGTGTCTCTGGGAAATGTCAAGTTTGATCTTGAAGAAGAAATCTGGAAACTACTGGAGCTATTTGTACACTACATCTTTTGCCTCACCTTTGCACCTGAGCAAAAAATGTAGCCTGTAGAGTGAACCAGGAGAAAAGAACATCTTCCTCTTCATTACAACTGTCTTCAACATACTCTATATGATACTATTATGATTTTTAGTAGTAGTAGTAGTAGTAGTAGTAGTAGTCATTTGTTCTATTATCATGTATATGTATATTATCATGAATGTAATAAACAAACTTAATAAAAGAGACAAAGATTATGCATTTCTTTATTTTTTTAATAATCATAATTATGAGTAATACATTTATCCCTTTCACCCCAGCATAGACCCTGCATCAAAACATAGGGAGTTGAGGGGAGGTTGATTTTGAGTCTATGATAGCAACACACACACACACACACACACACACACACACACACATACACACACATACACACACACACATACACACACAATACACACACACATACACACACACACACACACACACACACACACACACACACACACACACACACGATACACACACACACACACACACAGTTTCTTCAGCAGCTGCCTCCTGGAGCACAAGGAGAAGCCATCACTGCTGCTCCGGCTTTTGCTCCCGTCACTGAAACCGCTGTTAGCGAAACAGTCGCAGAAGCCGAGGCGGAGGCGGTCGAAGCCAGGACGCTCCCTTTGCGCGATGCCCTGAGAGAGACGGTAGTACTGATGTGCAACGCGCAGTCCTCCGCTTCGAGCCCTTTCACCGTAGTGACAGAATTCAAACTTTCACGTTACCACCAGCCCATCCACACTACCTCGTCTGGAGGCAACGCGTATCTGAACGCAGTCCTGCGTGACATTAAGCTTCAGGGCTCTGACCAATACCCCAACTATTTTCTTCTTTTAAGGAATGCCAGCAGGGCCTGCGCAGATTATCTCAGTGCAGTCGTGACAGCGGCAAATGCGCAACAAGAACGAGAACGAGGACGAGACGAGAAACAAACAAAGAGACAAAACATACAGCAGGCCTAGTGCCTGGCCCCTCTCTCGCAGTCACCGGGGACTTGAGCAATCACTGCGATATAGTTGTCATCTTTGAAATGGACCAAGACGGGAAGGAATCGAGAAACATTTTCACCACTGACTCGTGCTCTCCCGCTATGCGAAATGCTGTACTTCAGGGCAATGTACGCTTTGACTATGAACAAATATGGAGACCGATAAAGACACACATACGCTACTTATTCTGTCTTTGTTTTGCTCCTCACCATAGATTTAGACTAAGTCCAACAGCATAAAACAGGAGCAGCTGCAGCTGCCTTACCACCCTGCTGCCAGTAGTAGGACTAGGAGTGGGAGGAGGAGGAGGAGGAGGGAGGAGGAGGAGGAGGCAGGCCCACAGGTAGGGTAGCGTGAGGGATAAATAAATAGTCAGACATGCATACATACATGCATACGTACGTACATACATACATACGTACATACAGTAGTATGTAGAAGAGCAAAAACATGTATCCACAAGAGCCTGGAGCCCAAGAAGAAGCACAAGAAGGCCAGGAGAAAACAAGAAGAAGCACAAGCCAGAGCTGGATTGAACGCATTAACTGAAGAGGCTGTGGTCAGAATGAACGAGCTACTCAGGACGCGCGATGCCTTAACAGAGACGCACGAGTCACTTTCAACCCCCTTTATATGTCTGAAACAGAAGCTATAGTTACTACAGTCACTCAAACACTTATTGTGACAGGATGTGGGGAAGAGGAGTGTGTGTGTGTGTGTGTGTGTGTGTGTGTGTGTGTGTGTGTGTGTGTGTGTGTGTGTGTGTGTGTGTGTGTGTGTGTGTGTGTGTGTGTGTGTGTGTGTGTGTGTGTGTGTGTGTGTGTGTGTGTGTGTGTGTGCTGTGCTGTGCTGTGCTCATGACTCTAACATTTCAAACAAGATGTGAGTAAAAAAAGGCCAGAGACTCTTTGAATCCCACAGTGATTTGAACACATTTATTTACACACTCTAGAATTTCAAATCATCCTCTATAATGACTGTAACAGGAAGAAGCCAGGCCACTTCTCAGAGTTGGAACGTGTGAGATTTTCAATCCACGTCTGTTTGAGCAAAACTAAAGTGGAATTGAACTCAAAACCTTAGAACAACACAAGTTACAGCAGAAAATGTCTGACCTTCACCAGGAGAGCGGGAGGGTTTTAGTCCTGCTGTTGTAACACAACATGTTAATGTGTCAAGACACTCGTGCTTAGTAGAAAAATTGGCAATTTCACAGAGATCAGGACCACGGACAAATCAGATGGTGACTTTCTCACTTTCAGCAGAAAGTTTGATATCTGGAGCAAACAAATGCACAAACAAACACACACACACACACACTCACACACACACTCACAGGTTGCATGCTCCAGTTTAACCCTCTCGCGCTCCTCGTGGGTCAAACCGACCCCAAAATGTTGTTTTTTTATTTATTTATTTAATCACTCCTTGTGCCTGTGTACAACAGCTGTGTCTCATTTTCGTGCCTGCACTACTGACTGCATACAGCAGGGGGCAATATTTTTTATTTTAATAAAGTGTCTAGTAAATGAAGGGGGAAAAAAACAGCAGAGCGGGAGGGTTAAATGAAGGAAAAATCACAATTTTGGGTCTGTTTGACCCACCAGGAGAGCGGGAGGAGCATTTTCAAATGCATGTGGACAGTTTTCTGGGGGAACTTACGCAGAACCCGCCCTGTGACTGGTCACATGCCTTCACCATTGCAACCAGATGGGCGAGAAAAAATGTCCCTCATATAACGCAGGAGGTGATGGACCAGGCGGAGGCTCTCATCGTGTCCTGTGGGTTCTCCGAGGGACAGGGTGCACCTGGGGGGGACACAGTCACACAAACTGATGACCAAGTGACACATGCAACTGTTCATGAACCCCTAATTTTACCTGGGATTGACACGGTCGCACAAACACCTGCAGTCACACAAGCACCTTCACATGAGCTTCCTACATCTCCTATACCCCCTGTACCCACCGTGAGACGCAACACAGGCTCACGTGACACGCCCCAGACGCCCCAGACTCCCCCGAGCAGACGCCTCCACTCGAACAGAGACCTCCACCTCGGGCTCGCTTCCGTAATCCCGTAGTCGTCCCTGCAGAACATTTTGATTGTGAAATTGTGCACTTACCAGATGCAGATCAGGTGCAGGATGCTCCCTCTCCTCATCCTCGAGTTCCTCAGCCTCGTCCTCCTCCTTCTCCTCCCTGTTCTCCTACACAGTTGTTAGAGGAGGAAGCGTTACACATGCACGACACATCTCCAATTTTAGCACCGACTCAGGTCCCTCACACCAGCCCTGGTCCAGTGGCTCAACAGGAGACCACAGCTGAGGTCCATGAGCCGATTCACTCTCAATTTGAGACCTTGGCGGACGGTGACATGGACCCACTCTCAGATGCTGAGCTCCTTAATTCCCTCTGCACGCGGCCGGGGTCGATTTGTCCTCATGCGACACATTAATACAAATAGGAAAATGGTGGACTGGGCCTTGACTGTCAAACGATTCCTCATTATCGGTGATTCAAACCTTTCCCGGATCCTGTCACACGATGTTGAGGACCTACAGATTGACAGTTTCCCAGGGGCTAATTTCAGACATGCCCAGGCCATTCTAGACAAATGTATTGCCTTCACCAAGGTGGAGAAATTGGTGTTGGCCTTTGGACTGAATTGCCGGGGTCAAAAAGCGAGGGTAACTTCCGTCAAACAAATGCGGGCAGCTGTGCGTAGGGTTAGGGCTAAATCGAGGTTTCCCGCCGCACATATATGAGTCCCTTTGGTGAACTACTCCACCAACCTGTCCATTCCAGAGAAGGACACGCTGAGGGCCCTGAATGATCATATAGAGAGGAACTTGTCCTTCTTTCCACTGCTGGAGAAACATCTTTTTGAGACAGAGCAAGACAATGTCCACTGGACCAGGGACACTGCCTGCGCCATGTTTGATCACTGGTGTCGGTGTTTAAACTTGTGAGTCTCTCAAGGTCACAGGCCGGGGGCTGAGTGGCCATACGACCTTCCGGCCCCGGAATGTGATTGTTCTGGCTAAAAGGGTCACATTGACTGACACTCAGCTGCGTGTACTGGACAGAGGACTGACATTTGTCCCTTCCACTCACACCAGTACATATCAAAAACAACAATTACAATTTGACATTCAAAATTACCATAGGAACATTAAATTAGCCGTTTTTTTTAAAGGACAATCCCCCACCCACAATCAAAATCTATTTGTTTTGCCTTCCATGTGGACCCCACCTTCAGACAAACTGCCACCAGAGGTCAAAGTCCTGATCAAAAAGGACCTAAATGATTTTCACACTCAGTTCAGTCTGTGCAGAGAACAGTCCAACCTCTCCCCGGCTGAAAATCAGGCCCTTGTGAGCCTGGTTCACAATAAACACTTGGTCATCAAGCCAGCGGACAAAGGCGGTGCAGGGATCAGTGTGTTTGGGAAGGCCTCCGTCAATTAAAGGACACGAAATATTATGTTAAATTGGACACACCCATTTTTTACAACACAATAACCCTAACCCAGGGGTCTCAGACTCGCGGCCCGGGGGCCAACTGCGGCCCGCGGAACGATTTTTTGCGGCCCTCCACTTGATTCCAAAGAATCAAGTGGAGGGCCGCGGGCCGCACTGACAGATGAAGCTGCAATCTGTGCCATGCAGATTCACAACAACAGATTATTAATGCAGTTTACATCCCAAAACTCAATTTACAGCAGTTGTGAAGCAACGAGTCTAAGTGGATCTGTTAATACACGTACACGTGCACGTACGGCGTCACCGAAGAACCAAAACAAACCACACATGGTGGTACACGTGTGCACTTCACTTTATGCTCCCACAACCACAGTATCAGAGCAGAGGAGGCGCTGACAGAATCCCCCTGTTCATAAGTGTGGGACCTTTATTGGAGGAGGTAATAAGAAATAAAAAGACTTTGACAGTCTGTTTACCTGTTCAACACTCGGTGAGTAATTTGCTGGCAACTCGATGACCAAACTCCACCTGTGCGTCGCCGAAATCCACGCGCACTCAGCGGCAAACACAGCTGTCCCATCAATATGCAAACACCACAAAACTGCACTGATCTAGTCCAGAGGCTTGGCGACATGTGCAAAAAGTACGAGGCAAAAACAAGCGTCTTCCATCCATGTTTGACATACGAGAAGCAGATACACTCCAGTGTGGCGCTTTCACACCGGCAAACGAACCAAAACTGGTCCGATTAACGAGCCTCTGTATCCCGGTAGAACAGTGATATCTCCAGTAATCAATACTGATGTTCCCTGTTGATACCAGGAGCCGTCCTCATCTCATCACCATGAACTCATAAAACAGCAACAAGTAGAACTTTCTACAAACTCACCGCATCAGTTCTGAGTTCGGGTAACAGCAGAAGCCAACAGCTCCTCAGGACGGGGCTGGGGTCTGGTCCTTGGTTTTCTGTCGTCCTACAAGCGTTGGTCAGATGGTCCGGAGGCTCCATCCTCCATGTGCTGGTTCCAGACGGTGGCGAGCAAGACCAGTGCGCAATGACTGGGTCTAAGCGGGAACGTTCCGCCGTCTACGCGCTGGTTCCGTGTTCCGTGCGGGGAAAGTGAGAATGTTCTGTGGACTACACCTACAGGTCTGTGCTGCTCCTGTCCTCCGCGCTCAAGAACCGCGGCTGGTTCCGAGGTGGAGCAAAGCATCCGGACAGAACGTGAATCCAGTTTAGTTGGTGTCCGTCCTCCGCGCATTTGGTTCTTCCCGGGAAAAGCGCTTTTCACTCCCCGCTCCACGTCATCTGAGCCCGGACAGAACCGGAGCTGCTCCTGCTGGTTCGGGACTCTGGTTTGGATCTAGTCCGACTGTATTTCTCACACGAGGCTAAAAGCAGGACATTTTTTAAAGGTGAATCAATTGAATGGGCGATTGCCTATTGCCATAAAATTATTTAGTTAATTAAAGCCTAAAATAACAAATGCTGGTTCCTACATGATCACGGGGAACACCGGGTCATCTCTGTGCAGGTCCTGATCAGAAGTACACACCCCCAACTTTGACTCACTCTGGAGCCACACGTTGGTTCTTGCTCTGATCTTCGTGTGTTTCATTCTCTGTTTTGGCCATTGTTGGTTAAATATTTCGAAAATGAATCGCGGCTGCGTCTGGAAAACAACCTGTTACTGCGCTGGAGTCGTACAGCGTCACTTCAGGCAGAAGAGACGCGTTTCTCCCATGATGCATCTAGAATAGTTCGTTTGGACCTGCTGTCTGTGGTTTGGACCCGGGTTCACGTTCACACCAGAAGAACCGCACCAAATGACCAACTTTGGTGCGGATTCAAGCGAACCGAGACCAGCTCTTTTTTGAGGTCTCGGTTCACTTGAGTTGGTTCGGGTCAGAGTCCGATTGACGCTTTCACACCAACGCAAACGAACCGAACTAACCACTTCTGGTTCGAATGGATCGTTTGGTGCAACAAATACTGTCGGTGTGAAAACACCTAATACAGGTCAAGGGTCACTGATGAGCATCTTCAATCTATCCTGAGGATCTGCTTCCTCCTGCAAGTCAAACATCTCTCAGCTGTACAAGATGAAGCGTAGCCAGGTTTCAACCAGAAAGAAGTAGGCAAAAGAAGAAGAGTAGACGTATTAGTTTAAACTTAAGTTCTGAATACATTTTCATGTTCTGAACTGTTATTAAAGATTAAGAAAGTGTGTTGCGTGTTGTTCATTCTCTCTCTTCATTTCCCGTGCAACCGCTGTTTATCAATACTCAATGCGGCCCAGCCTCACTCAGACTTTATCTAATGTGGCCCCCAGGTCATTTGAGTTTGAGACCCCTGCCCTAGACCAACCCCTTGCCTAAACTTAACCAGTGGATGAAACACATATATGGTCCCTTTAAACTTTAAACGGCTAAATTTTTCCCACGCTTGACTAGGATGGATATGGACTGTTTTGACTCTGGTGGAACTGGATCAGAACTACATTCTAACAATTGATTGGATTAAAGCTAATATTCAGCCCATTTGGAAATGGTTTTTAAATTTTAAAGGGGTCTTTTAAACATATATTTGTATGGGAATAATCCTTTTTGGTTTGTTTATGCTATTGACTGTGGATGGGAACACGCCCCCTTTGGAAAGAGACACGCCTCCCCCAGATCCACATATAAAAGGAGGAAAGGAGACACACATCTCCAGCAGAGAGCTGTAGACATGAGACAGGGACACACATCCCCTTTATAAGCTACACAAATAGAATTTTTGATTGTGCCTTGGACCTGAAGAAGACCCTAAAATTGGTCGAAACGTTGTCCTTTAGGCACTTAAATGTAATTGTTTGAATATTTCTAGAATGACATAGCTCATAATTTTTTGAACCCGGGTCGGCAACATAGCCACCCTTATATTGTCAGTTAAAAACTTCTAAACAGAATAACCTAAACAAACCCACAAGAATAATTACAACATGGAGTGAGACAGTGAGAGCCCGTGTGCATCACCCGTTCCACGTGTTGGGACGGGGCCTTAACAATTATTCTAACCCTAAACCCTAAACCCTAAAAATTAAAAAACTAAAAAACACAAAAAAACCTAATTGATTAAGACAAGTCTGGGTGGACCCTCGCCGTGGGCGGGGTCCGCAGCCGAGACCAGCGGGGGGCGTCGGGCTGACGTCCGAGTTGGAGCCCGTGCATCACCTGTTCCCGGCCGGGGGCGGGGCTCTGTCTGTGTCTGTCCGTCGTCTCTGGGGAACGTCATCTCCGTACAGAGACAGTAAAATGACACGGATCCTGCCGGACTCTCCGGGGGAAACTGTCGCGCCACCATCGTGATCTGCTGCTCGCCGTCCTCCTACAACGAGGCCGAGACCGAGTCCAGAACCCGGTGACTGTGAACATCGAGCTGAAATATAGAAACATGAGAGAGAAAAAGAGAAGAACAAAACTCTGAGGAACATCATCACCTGGCTGGAAAACGAGCTCAACCGCTGGAGGAACGGGGAGAACGTTCCTCTGGAGGAGCAGCTCGATAAAGAAAAGGCCAAAGAGGAGGTTCTGCCTCTGGACAACATCATGAACGAGAAGGCAGCGTCCAGCCCCAACACGAGTCCAACTCACCGACGTCGAGAAAGAAGAAGTGTGAAGCCGAGAAAACGTTTTTTTAGAATTTTTTTTAATTTTTTTATTTAATTTAATTTTTTTTTTTTTTAGTTTTTAAAAAAACAAAACAACGGTAACAGAACCAGCAGGGGGCGTTGGGCCTGAGTCCGAGTACAGGACAAACCCTAACCCAGCTTGGCCTTACTACATTTAAAAGCATTTGATTGGAAACACTGGGGTGGAATTAAATTTATTGAATAGCAATAAGACAGGAATAAAGTTTTTTGACATGATAATAAATTTTTATATTGAATATGATTATTCATATTTTGACAGTGACGGAGCTCACAATCTTTTGAATCCTGGTGCAATACAGCCCCAGTCCACCTGATGGCGACACAGCCTCATAAAAGAAAGAAAAAGCAGCAGGGATGGAGTGGATCCTGATTCCATCTTTTCTATGAGCAGCTTCCTTTTCTCCACAACTTCTTCATGAGTCAGAGGAAACTCCCCCAGAACCTGAAACAATGTTCACCTCCTTTCACCTCATAAAGTTGCACTGTTATAACACAATAAGATTAATAGTGTCTAAAACAGCTTCACTGCAGTTACAATGGCATTTGTAAAGTTAAAAGCCCTAATGTAATTTGATACGTTGGACAAATGAGCAGCCCCCGAGTCTCCGATCTGATTGGCCAATGAGCGGTAGATTAAGGAACAGTTAAGACGCAGAGGCCATCACAGAGGCAGGAGTCCCGTGCCCCAAAGACAAAGATGAAAAACCTGCACATTACAAATTCAACAACTGGGCGCTGTTCGCACAGAACCAGAGTTCTGGGATGAGGTTCAATGAAATGTTCTGGAACATGGGGAAGGGAAGCATGAGGAGCTTCTTTAACGCTCTGGACAAAACTGAGCCGAAGAGTCTGACTCTGACCAAACAGGTGCTGAGAGAGAGAAAGCAGCTGGAGGAGGCTGTGGAAGATCTTCAGAGGAAAATCAAAGAGGCTTTAGCCAAACAAGACGAGATCAAACAGACCGAGGAGCAGGTGAAGAAGCACGAGGCCGAGATCGAGAGGAACAAGGACTTTATGGTCCCTCTAAAAGTCACGAAGCCTGTTGAAGAAAACATCTCAGGATCAGGGAAGTACATCACCAACTGCCAGAAGTGCCATCACACGTGTCATTTCCCATGTGGCATCGCCGACGACAGAGACAAGAAACACTGTGACGCCATGGATGGAAATGGATACTGCAAAAAGTGTCCAGGAAAATGCATCTGGAGCGAACACTACAACCAGAAGGACCAATGGAAGTACGAAGAAGTCACCGAGATGAAGACTGCAGAGGAGATTAAGGAGAAGTGCCTCAAAGGAACCGAGGACAAGAAAACTGAAGTGTTTGGTCTCAAAACTGAAACAGGAGCACCAGAGGTTCAAGAATAAAGTGAACAACATGGTCCAGGAAGCCACCGGGTTCATTAACCGTCTGAAGAACGACCCTCTGTCCACTCCAGACTCCACCTGCTCATCGAGGCTGAGAAGAAGCAGCGTGAGGCTGGATGGGAGCGGAGGGTGGAGGCCCTGGAGGAGGAGAAGCAAAAGGCTGAACTGTGCTCACGAGTCGCCACCGGAGGAGAGTTACTGTCCTTTCACTGAAGTAAGTCTGAATAAAATCTATTTAACCAAATCCAAAGCAGAGAGACACTGCAGGTGCAGCTCCAGAACCACTAACCCAAGAAATAAATACAGATTTTTATCTGTTTTTAGATTCTTAACTTTTTCTCAGCTCAAAATCCCTCAGTTGTCTGAAAAACAGACAAGGCAAGTTTATTTGTACAGCACAATTCATACACAAAGTAATTCAATGTTTTACAGAAAAAGAAATACATTAAAATCACAATAAAAACAAATGAAAACATAAATAATCATCACAAAATTCAAAAGAGACAGAGACGTTCAATGAGAGAGAAGAAGAGTGCAGAATGAAAAATGAAAACCTTTCAGTCCGACGCAGTGAAACAGAACTGAGCCTGGAGTCACTGAAGAATGAAGCAGTGGATGTGAAAATCTGTTTTATGTTGTATTTGACCAAAGCTGTTTTTGTCTGTTTCAGCCCCGGACACTGGAGGAACATTCAGCTTCGCTCGGGTTTTGGAGACTTTGACTTTCTAAATAAAGCTTTAATACGGAGCAGGACACGATTTCTGTTTTTCCTGAGTCCTACTGAGAAATGTAGTTGAAATGTCCCATAATCCAGAGAAATGTCATGTTTGTGAATTTACTTTTCCCTCCAGCTGATGGTGATGCTTTTCAAATTTGCTTCTGGACTCTCAGGCTGATATTTAGAAACTGAAATAATGTGATGATTTTCTGAAATTCTTAAAAATGCAGCGGATGAAAGAGGCTCCAAACTAAGACATGATTAAACTGGAAGTGATTTCTGTTAATAAAATCAAAATGATAAACATGAAGCTCAGAGTTTTTATTCACACGTTAAAATAAATCTTAAATCAAACCTGTTCTTCAAACTGCTCGTCTCAGATCTTTCTCCATGTTTTTCTCTTGTGTTATTCTCAGATTAAATGTACAAATGTAAAACACTGAGGTTAAAACTGTTTCCACCACAGAAACAGTTTAAACACCAGAAGCACAAGAAGAACAGAGACAAAGTGACGCAAAGTCCCAAAATAAACATGTGACACCAGCACAGACAGAAACTACTACTACTACTACTTGTCAAGTCTTTATTTCAGGAATGCAGGTTCAACTTGAAAAAACCAGGGAAACAGACACAAGTCTCAACTCGGCTTGAAGTTTTTATTGAAATAATTTGATTATTTTAGTTGTAGTAGTAGTAGTGGTATTTGTAGTTGTTGTAGCAGTTCGAAAACCTTCAAAAAGACAAACATGTAATAAAATTAAATTTACATTTCACAGTGTCAGTCATAATCCATTTTACTTTTAATTAATACACTTCAATTATGATATTATCTATATATAATATATATTATTTGTATTTTATAATATCCAGTATACATTTCACACATGAACCCAAATAGCTATCATTTTAACCCATCATTTTACCAATAATTTTTCAATCCTATAATTAACTTTTTATACGGTTTTAACTGAATGCATGAAATGTAATATTTGAAGATACATAAATACATTGTTTTTTAATTGCTAAACATATTTATATATTTAACTAGAGCTAAACTTAGGATTTACATCATTTTCTTTAAATCAGATTTACTAAATAAGCAATTTAGTTATTTAACTTAACTCTTAGCATTTTTAAACTTAAATTTAATTTATTTACAGTTTCTTTTAAATTTAAAACTAATTTTAAAGTTAAATTTACTCACCAGTAGTGTCTCTGTGTTTCCCCTCACATTCCTTGGTTTGGTCTGATTTTTTTGAGCACACCTGGGCCTCATTAAATGATTACAGAGACACACCTGGTTACCTGGTTTTTGGTCTTGCTGCCATCTACTGGCCAGACTCAAAATAACCTAATCAACTAATAAAAAGGGAGGGGAGGAGGGGGGAGGAGCGGTGAAGAGGAAGAGGAGGGAGCAGAGGTGAGAGGAGACAGGGCTCAGGAGTGGAGGTGAAGACTTGGTGCAGGGGCTGGGCTTTTTGACTTGACACCTCCCACTTGAGCTCCTGGTGGGAACCCAAGGAGGTCACACATCTCAGTCCTTGGTGTCTTGTACCGAGTATTCTTCAGCTGGTATTAGGACAATTAGGCGTCTTACATCTCTCTGAAGGATGGTGGCAGGGATTTTTGTTTTAGCCTGCTGCTTTGTATGTTTCATTGGGACTGGATAGCTTGGGAAGACTTTTATGCCAGGCATCTCTGACAATTCCTTTGCCGTCTTTGTTGATTTGAACCACTTTGCCCAGCGTATATTGACCCCTCAGGGCGTTCTGGTCAGCCACCCACACAATGTCACCAACCGCTACATTCCTTTCCTTCGTATGCCATTTGCTCCTTACGAATAAGTTGGGACCCGCCAGCTGGCACCATTTTTTCCAGAATTTTTTAACTTCTAACTGGATGCTTTGGAGCCTTTTAAAGGAGTAACCTTCAAAGTCAAAACTGGCCAAGTTTCCCTTTGGGCTTGCCCGTCCGAGGAGGAGACTGTTGGGACTGATGTAGTTTATACACTCTTCTCTGCTTTGCACTCGAGCATCTATTGGCCTTTCGTTCACGAGGTTGGTAGCCATGAACAGAAATGTTTGGAATTCACTCCAGGTGAAGATACTGTCTCCAGCCAGATTATGCAGGGCTCTTTTGACCAGCCGAACTGCTGCTTCAGCGGCGCCGTTTCGGTGCGGAGAGTTTGCCGGGTGGATTTTCCATGACCACTCTGACCCATGTTTTGCTGCTTCATTCTCAAGTTCTTGCTTGTCCACTCTGTCAAGTGCTGGTTTGGCTCCTATAAAGTTCGTTCCTGAATCTGACCAAAGTTTCTTGGGGTGACCTCTGAGTGCTGTGAACCTTTGGAAGGCCAGAAGGAAACCTTCAGAGGACTGGTCACTGACAATGTCTGTTTGAATGGCTCTTGATGCCATGCAGCAGAATACAATGCCCCATACTTTAAGTTTGGTTCTTTTCTTCACCTCGTCTTTTACCATGAATGGTCCAAATAGATCTACAGTGGTGTATTCGAAAGGCAGGGCTGGAGTTATCCTTTCTGGAGGAAGATCACCCATGATTTGCCGACAAGTCTTTGCCTTGTTTTTCCTGCAGATTACACAGCTGTCAACAACTTGTTTTGCAAGTCTCCGTCCCTTGATAATCCAAGCTTTCCATCAGAAAATGTTATTGCAACTGGTCTGTCTCTCCAATCAGCAGGCGTGATACTTCTGAGGAATCTTATTTGACTCAAATCTGCATATTCTTCGAAGAGTTTGACGGCCTCGTCTCTCAGTCCCTCTGAGAGAGGTTTGTCCCAGGTTTCTTGAGTCATTTTTCCCACACCAGTTTCTTGAAAAGCCCTTCTCACCAGGATGGCGCCTTTCTGCTTTAGAGGAGTTACCAGGCCAATTGGGTCATATAGCCCCGCCACTTGGCTCAATAGCTCTCTTCTGCTTAGGGGATCAGGTGTTTGATGCCTTATCTCCTCCTTTGTAAGATTTTTTCCGAGTCTCATCTTCTTTCTCTTCTTGGAGAAATTGATTGATGTAAGCATATACAGCATGTCCTTCTGTGCATCATAGCCAACCCCAAGAGCTTTATTATCTTCATCTCTCATTTGGTTGGGAAGAATGACAGTTTTGTTATGAGCAGTGTACTCTGTCTGCTGGACCTCTCCTGAACTTAGTTGCCTCCCACTTTGGCCAGACCACACCCAGGGTTTCAAAAAGAAACCTCCAGCATTTAAGATCTTTTCAACTCCTCCAGTAATCTTGACCAGACCCTCTAGGCTGTTGTGAGAAGTGAGTATATCATCCACATAACTGTCTTCCTCTAGAACTCTGCGCTCTTCTGTCATGTGGGTAAACTCTGGCAGCTTAGCAGTTTCTCTCATTGCCAGTTGCGCTATGCACCCTGCTGGTCTGTCCCCGATATTGACTCTGGTAATGGCATACTCTTCAATATCATCTTCCATACAGTCTCTCCAGAGAAATCTATGCAGATGCATTTCGCGGTCTTCCAGCCAGACTGAGTTGTACATCTTCTTGATGTCACCCAATGCAGCATGTACCCCTTGTCGGAATCTAAGTAGTACGGCTCTGATGGGATTCAGTACGTCTGGACCTTTGAGCAGAATATCATTCATACTTTGACCTTTGAACTTCTGGCTACTGTTCCACACCAGTCTTACAGGAGTTGTTACAGAGTGAGGGTTTGGGGCAATTAGATGACTCACATACCAGACAGGGCCTTTCCAATCTGTTTTTATTTCTTCTGTGAGTTTTATAGCAGCATGTCGTTCCACCATCTCATGAACTTGAGCAGTATATGCAGCTTTCCACTCTGGCTCTTTGTCCAGCTGTCTTTCCGTCCTCATGAACGTTGCTTGAACTGCTTCTTTGTTGTTTGGGAGGAAGAAGGATCTTGTGTCCAAGGATACTTTGCATCCCAGTGTGGAGTATTAACATGAGCATCTCCTCTCACATAGGTAAGTCCTTCTTTAATAACTTCCAGCTCTTTCTTCAGCCAGTGTCATTTCCTTGCCTCCAGGCTGACAATTGCCACATCGACATCCCCCACACTTTGGCTCGCAGGAAGCACCAATGCTCTCCCACCTCCACCACTCGAGGAAGTCCTTTGATGTACCAGCTGCAACCATGGTACTGGCAGTCTTGTGTGGAGGGATACTGTGCGGATCTGAATGCTTTATCACCTCTTCGTATCTCACTGCTGCAGTTCGCATTGATCGTGCAAAGTGGGTCTTGGAATTATGTGCAGCTATTTCCACATGCTCAATCAGGATGAGCACCACCAACTGTTTTTCCAAGAGGGCTATCCCATAAAACAAGATCCCCCACAACTTTCTCTCTCTGAGGGTGCCAGCCTCTCTTCTCGGTGACTTATTAGGAGCTCAACCTCACTGGGACGCTGCAGATCCTCTACTCGGACATCGGGGAAGAAGGAGTGAAGCTTTTCAGGTTCGACTTCTTTGTGCACCTTGGCAATTTCATCCGAACCATAGCAAACAAGCTCATGTGACATTTCCACACCCGGTGCCGTCTTAATGCGGACTCTGAGAAGGTAACGTTTTGTCTTGACAGACAAGGTCATCCCACCAACTCCATACAGCATTAAGGTCACTTTTCACTTCTCAGTCTGAGTCGGTCAGCAGCCTTGTGAGTAATATAATTAGTGTCAGAAGCAAGGTCTATTAGGGTTCCAATCTTCTGACCTGCATTTGCTGTGACCTCCAGTAACATCAAAATGACTGGTAGCTCTTCAAGATCATTGTGTGCCATTAGCTGAGATGGTGGTGTGTTGCCAACTCGGGCACTCCCATTTGTGAACGCCTTTCTGCACCGCTCTGCCATGTCTGGAGATAACTCCATCAGGAATTGTTCTTGCTCTGTGGTTAGATTGCTTTTCCTGTCACCGCTTTTCCTCTCTTTGCTTTTGTCAGTTTCTCTTGGGCAAAGAAGGTAATGGTGATCGTTTGGACCTCCTTTTTTGCATTCTTTGTTCCTGCAGATGTATGTATTCGTGCAATCTCCCTCTGTATGCCAGCCAAGACAGATTCTGCATGCACCAAGCCTTTTCAGAGTGACCTTTTTCTCTGGAACACTCAGTGATTTGAATTTTCTACAAAAGAAAAGCTTGTTGAAATGTTTTCTTTCACCACATACAGCACATGTTCTCTCAAGTTCTTTTTCTGTAGTTTTGGTGGTAGCATATTTCTTTTCTTGTCTTCGTGTAGTATAGTCTGCTTTGTCCACAGCTCTGAGTTGTTCCAGCCTTTCTAGTACACCCTCTTGTTTTTTCAAGAATGTGAGAAGCATGTCAAAGTGGTTATCAGATTCCACTCCATTACTGGGTTCTAACATGAAACTGAGCCAGTCACGCTTCACAAAGTCGGGGATCTTACTCTCAATTGTTCTTATAACGAGTGGATTTTTAATTGCGCCAACATTGTTCAGATCTGTCAGGTCAGCAAGGGCTTTCTCCACTGCTTGAATCAGCTCAATCACTTTGCGTGGCTGATTTCCTCGCACAGGTGGTAATTTTTCAAGGTCTTCAAGGATCTCAATAGCTATTGCTGATTTGTTTCCATATCTGTTTTCCAGCACTCTGAACATGTCCTCAGAAGAGGAGTAAGATGACAATCTCAGGTCTTTTACAAGTTTGTCTTCCACACTGTTCAGCAGTTGGATTTTTCTGACCTCAGCTGACCCGGTTGGTTCACCCTGCTTTTGCAGATTTTCCCAGTCCTTTCTCCATCTATAAAAGTCTCTTTTGTCTCCACTGAATTTTGGTAGTGAAGTGGGCTTTATCTTCACGATTGGGATCATTGGAGTAGGTGTTGCAGGTCCCCCGTTAAAACCAGTAGCTGCTTCTCCAGTCTGCTCTGCAACCCGCCTTGCGGTCACAAACTCTGCCTTCCTTAGCTCAAGTTTGAGTTTCAGAGTTTTTAATGCAGCAATTCTGTCATTGAGAGTCCTCCGCTCCTCTCCAGGAATCCATCTTTCCCAGGTCAGCATTGTATCAGTGGTGTCTTTGAGTCTTTTCTCCAAAATATCCATATGAACACCATAACTCTCCACATTTATACTGAGAACAGGTAAATCACATGTCCTTTCCCCAATCTCTTCAGCTTCCAAGATGGATGTTTGGACTTCAGTCTTCCCATATTTTGACCACAAGGTTGCTTGCACAGTCTCTCTTATGAGTTTGAATTTTCCTTCAGCTTCTTCGGCTGTTTTTTCAATCTCTTCCTGTTGTTCAAACAATTGTGGGTCTTTCTCTTTTAATTCATCACATAGTAATGCAGCCAAGTAATTGTCATTAGACTCAAAAAGTTCTGTGAGTCGTTCAGATAGTTTATTGAATTCATCCAATATCTCTTCTTGTACCATACTGTCCAAGTCTCTTGTGACCATGTTAACTTGTCTTGTGAAGAGGCTTTTTGCAATAGTGCGCTCTTTTTTGAGCTGTTTGATTGACTTGTCTTCAGCCATGTTTCCTCTTGCGTCCTCCTTAGCACTTGGATTAAGCTTTTTGCTTTTCCCACTTTGTGCTTGCACGACTGGTTTTCGACTGTCAAGTCTTTATTTCAGGAATGCAGGTTCAACTTGAAAAAAACCAGGGAAACAGACACAAGGTTCAACTCGGCTTGAAGTTTTTATTGAAATAATTTGATTATTTTAGTTGTAGTAGTAGTAGTAGTAGTGGTATTTGTAGTTGTTGTAGCAGTAGCAGTAGCAGGTCGAAAACCTTCAAAAAGACAAACGTGTAATAAAATTAAATTTACATTTCACAGTGTCAGTCATAATCCATTTTACTTTTAATTAATACACTTCAATTATGATATTATCTATATATAATATATATTATTTGTATTTTATAATATCCAGTATACATTTCACACATGAACCCAAATAGCTATCATTTTAACCCATCATTTTACCAATAATTTTTCAATCCTATAATTAACTTTTTATACGGTTTAACTGAATGCATGAAATGTAATATTTGAAAGATACATAAATACATTGTTTTTAATTGCTAAACATATTTATATAATATTTAACTAGAGCTAAACTTAGGATTTACATCATTTTCTTTAAATCAGATTTACTAAATAAGCAATTTAGTTATTTAACTTAACTCTTAGCATTTTTAAACTTAAATTTAATTTATTTACAGTTTCTTTTAAATTTAAAACTAATTTTAAAGTTAAATTTACTCACCAGTAGTGTCTCTGTGTTTCCCCTCACATTCCTTGTTTGGTCTGATTTTTTTGAGCACACCTGGGCCTCATTAAATGATTATAGAGACACACCTGGTTACCTGGTTTTTTGGTCTTGCTGCCATCTACTGGCCAGACTCAAAATAACCTAATCAACTAATAAAAAGGGAGGGAGGAGGGGGAGGAGCGGTGAAGAGAAGAGGGAGGGAGCAGAGGTGAGAGGAGACAGGCTCAGGAGTGGAGGTGAAGACTTGGTGCAGGGGCTGGGCTTTTTGACTTGACACTGCTACTACTACTACTACTACTACTACTACTACTGCTACTACTACTGTTACTACTACTACTACTACTACTACTACTACTACTACTACTACTACTACTACTACTACTACTACTACTACTACTACTACTGCTACTACTACTACTACTACTACTACTACTACTACTGCTACTACTACTGCTACTACTACTACTAACTACTACTGCTACTACTACTACTACTACTACTACACTTACTAGCTACTA